ACCATTACCCTTACCCTAATATCAAAACAAATAAACTTTTGTTTAAAAAGTTTACACGTTACACCTAATTATATATCGTAAATTACTGGTGATGATCACCAGTGGTGATTTGTAGTAATTTTCTTTATAGAAAATAATTTTTTTAAATAACAATATAGATTGGGTATCAAGTCCCGATCTTAGTTCTCGTGAGGTTTTCAGGGGTTCTGAACATTTTTACTTAACCTACCGATATCAGATATAGCATAGTGGGTATTTTTAACCACTGGCACGAGTTAAAAATATCCTTTATATTGTATAAATAAAATTTTTAACCGGTTTTCGGTCTATAAATTATACAAAGTTTATTTTTATAATCATATTTACTATGCTGTATGTTTGGTAAGTTTTAGCTAAATTTCATACATTTTGGTTTCTAATTGATTTTATCCAATTTTGACTGGGTAATTATATATATAGTACTGTATATTATAAGTATCAAGAAATGTTTATTTAAGAAAAAAATTTAGTTGCAGTTTTTTTTATAGACATTTAATGAAGATTTCCTGATAATTATTTTAATTTAATTAAAAATTTTTTATTTTAACTTTACAAGCTTATAAAATTAAAATCAAATTTGAATAGTTATCAAGAAATTTCTAAAAATTAAATATTGTAAAAAAAAAACAATTAAATTTTTTTTAAATATCTTTAATGATTATTTGATCAAATTTATAGATGCCACCGAAATTAGTTTTTAAAAAAGTCTATTTTGTCTCCATTAGAGCAAATTAAGATTTTTTATATAAAAAAGCAAATCTAACTTATGTATTTATGTTCTTATAATTTCGTCTATTCACCAAAAAATTTCGTCTTTTAAGTAAAATAGGTCAAAAACAATTTCGTCTTCAGAACCTGAAATAATTTCGTTAACATGTATAATCAAATTGAATAAAAATTTTATTTCAATTTACAATTTGCAAAATTAAAATAAAAAAATTTTATTAAATCTAAACAGATAGTTGTTAAAAGATCTTTAAAAAGTATTTAATTTTTTAGAATTTTTTTTTGAGATATTTCAATTTTTTAAACCTTTAAAAATTTCTTGATAATTATTAAACCAAATTTGATGAAAATTTAATTCTAAAAATTAAAATAAAAAAATCATCCTTTTTAGGAGTTTTATTACCGAAATAAATAAGTAAAACCCCTTCGAATAATAACGTTATATTGTTTATTATACTTTTAGACCCTGAGATAACTTATTTGTGGGCGACTCCTTATCAGCTTAAAGAATACTGTCTAAAAATGTTATAAATAGAAAGTTTCTATCATTACGGAATTACCCCGATTTCCTCTACATAGGGTTACGGCAAGATTTCCCGAAAGTTATTTACCCGCAACTCATTTCCCCGACACCATAATGCTGGCATACTATTTCATCTGCAGCACATGTTTCGATAAGACATATATTTGACATTAAATGTTTTCGACAATCCTTTTCTTAGGGAATTGAACAACAACCATTACCAGCTAGGCATTTTTACTTAGTGAACGAGAAATGACTTCATTAGCGTTAGTAAATTTTGAGTGATTTTTAGACAGAATTTGTTCATTCCGACCCAACCGACCACGATTGCGATGTATTCAGGCCGGAATTTTGGGGAGTTATTGGACGTACATTTCTTATACAAGGGACCTAGGCCGGCATTTAGCAATACGGGTTAGCCTATAGCAAAATTATCAGCTGGTAAAATTTTTTTTAGTGATCATGGACAAAATTGATTAATTCTCCTGATGAGTTGGCGGGCTTTACCGTTACTTATTTGTACAACCCAAAAAGGAAATTTATTCTTGTAAATAAAGTGCGTAAAAACACAAATTTAGGGTTAAGACGTTAACATTAGAAGCCATAGCCATAGACTGTTACCCATTGCACGTAAAATTTGTCCCCGACATTTTTAATTAATGCACCAAGATCGGTTTAAACACTAGTTTTTGCTTTTTTCTTCTTTCGCACGCGTTCGGAATTCATGTCGGGCTGATCCGAAATGACTGTTTCCTTGTTAGCAATTTGTATTACCGGCACAAATAAGTAAAGCCTGGCGTTATTTGTACGTATGAGCGTCGTCTTAGTCCAATTGACAACACTGTACGACAATACTGCAATAAATGAATCCTTATATTTATTCTTTAAACTCCAAGATCCTCGTAAATTCGAATTAAAAAGGCCTCTATACTTTTTAATGATTAATTGTGTAAATATTCACGAATTTACGTAACTTAAAAAAAAAAAACTTTATACTTACAGTTCGAAAGACTAGCTAAATTAGTGTGAATAAATCAAATAAGCGGATAAGCGGCGTGTGTAATGATAAATATTCGCTACGTAACATAAATGGATAATTATGCTAAATTTTAGTAAAGTTAGGGTGAAATCCGTATTTACATAATATTTCAAGTACCGTGATCGGGGTTATCCGCTAACGCTAAGCCATCATTTTTTTTTTACTAACACTAGTCATATGCGTCGATCGCGATTGATTAAATTATGCATAACAATGCATCGGTGTTATACCAGCCAATGGATGTATTCTTATTACGCCTACTATATCATTACTGGTAATAATTTATACAAGTGACCCCACAAGACATGTCACAAAAATTTGTGATTTGCCAATGGCTTATCATAGAGATATAAAAACAATCTTGTATCACACAAGTAGAAGTAATATCAACATCTTAATAGAGACAATTCGAAAATAAAGGACGCCGGAATGGGAAATAGAATTAAAAATTATCGTTTAAAAGGAACTGATCGGATGTAATTATGGGCGCAAAAAAAGTGCCGTTTTTACTTATATTGGTAGTTTTCAAAAGGTATCATGATCCTGTGAAAGGCACTATTTACGGTTGGGCTAGTGGTCTTCACAACTTCTACTCAAACAGAAATAAAGTCCAATTTTCGAGTTAGAGTCTGACTAATTTTTATAATGAAGTTTGGGCATCACTTGAAAACTTCTCTGTACCCAGAGTGGACGGTACATTATCTTGCTTATGAGGAACTCAAGCGTGAATTAAAGACTCGGACTCGTAATGGTCAATGGAGCAACGAAGACGAAGTCTCTTTTCTCGAACTTCTTGAAAAAGAGCTCGATAAAGTTTATGTTTTTCAGGCGTCTATGTCTGAAGACATAAATAAGAGAACTCAACTTTGCGAAAAAGAAATTAGTAATCTAGATAGTAATGCAACGGAGGATCTCTACCTTGCACTCGAGGAAGAGCTATCATTAATCATTGCTGATGTACATGACCTTGCAAAATTTACTCGTTTGAATTATTCTGGCTTCTTGAAAATAATCAAAAAACATGATGCAAGTATTCTTGATCATTTTTATTCATGTAACAATTATATAATGACATTTCAATTAATTTTGGAAATTTATCATTGATAATTATACTTGTAGAAACAAACAAATAGGGAACTTAAATATATGTATATGTCACGTTTGAATGCCAAACCATTCTATAAGGAAAATTATGACGCGTTGATTGTTAATTTGTCGCGTCTTTATGATATTGTTCGTACCCGTGGTAACCCAGTTAAAGGCAATTCTTCTTCCGGTGGTCAACAGCAAAATTTTGTACGCAACACTACAAAATATTGGGTTCATCCGGATAATATTACTGAACTCAAACTTCTCATATTAAAACATCTTCCCGTCTTAGTTTTCAATGCTAACAAACAATTTGAACAATCTGACTCTGCAATCTCTTCAATATATTTTGATAACGATGATTTTGAACTATATCTCGGCAGATTGGAAAAGACTGAAGGTGCTGAAGCCATTCGATTACGATGGTATGGCGGAATGGATGTAAATGAAATTTTTGTCGAACGTAAGACGCATCGAGAAGATTGGACCGGTGAAAAATCTGTCAAAGAACGTTTTCCAATAAAAGAAAAATATGTAAACAATTATCTTCGTGGCCAGCATATCATGAATGAAGATTTTAAAAAAATGCGAGATAAAGGAAAAAGTGATAAAGAAATTAATGATTTGGAACAATTAGCAAACGAAGTACAATTTCGTGTTATCACAAAAAGGTTGAAACCTGGTTAGTATTACTGATAAACAATTGTTGTATCAATATTGTTTACTGATATATTTGATGCTATTTTTCTGTTGATTAGTGGTACGTTCTTTCTATAATAGAACTGCGTTTCAATTGCCCGGTGATGCTCGAGTTCGCATATCTCTTGACACTGAATTGTCAATGATTCGCGAAGATAACTATGAAAACACTATCCGTTGTGGTGACAATTGGAGAAGAATGGATATTGGCATAGATTATCCATTTTCGCAGTTACCTGACAAAGATATTGAGAGATTTCCTTACGCGATTTTGGAAGTCAAATTACAGACTCAGTTTGGACAAGAACCACCCCAATGGGTGCAAGAATTAGTAGCTAGTCATCTGGTTTGTTCACTTCTTTATTTATCATAAAGTTACTTTGGATTCTTTATTTGGGTAAATAAATGTTTTAATATTATTTCTTCGTTATGTAATGTATAAAGGTTGAAGCAGTTCCTAAATTTTCCAAGTTCATTCATGGTGTTGCGACTCTTGTGGAAGAACATCGAATTCATCTTTTACCATTTTGGCTTCCACAAATGGGTGTGGACATTCACAAACCACCTCGAGGTAACTACGGTCTTCAACGACCTACTATTGATACGTCTGATGCGTCTGATGAGAATGTCGATCCAATGAGTTCTGGGAGCTCAGAACATAGAGATATTGTTGCTGTTCAAGTAAATGAAGATGAGGATGAAATTAATGAGGAATCACGTTTACTTCCGGAAGAAAACCAACAAGAATCTTCAAGATGGTTATGGTCAGAACCTACGAATGCACTAGAAGAACTAGAAGATGAGCTCGTTATTGGACCTTCTAGAAAAGCATTACAGGTTCCACGTTATTATAAGGGAAGGCGTGTTGCAGTACCTGTTCGTGTTGAACCCAAGGTATTTTTCGCCAACGAGAGGACTTTCCTATCTTGGTTACATTTCGCCATTCTTATAAATGGATTTGCTGTTGGATTGTTAAATTTTGGTACTGATGACGTATCCAACATTG